AAATTATCTTTTCTAATTTCCTTTTCTAGTTGTAATATATTTATTCTTAAATCTTGTTTAGATTAGGATTAGTTTATTTCCTTTTAGAATTTAGGTTCATTTTATTAATAGGATTAGAAATAATTTTGCCTATAAATATAGAGGTATTGTACACTTTTTAATCAATCAATCATATATCAATATAAAGCAAGATTATTCTAATATAATTTTTATTTTAAATTCTTATTACAAGAATTTCTAAACGATTCCGCACCAATATTGGAATCTCAATGAGATTCAGGTAAGTGTGTGAGAGACTCTAAAAGAAATCAACATCATATATGGTGATATAAAGGCTACTTGTTTTTTCTCCTATTAAAAATTGTAGCAAATGTTACGTTGCATCAAAGTAGCTCATTTGAAGAGTTAAGACACTTTTTTAAAGATGAACATTTGATGCATATTTAATTATTTTCGATGTTCGTTTGAACACTTTGATATGTCTATGATGTAGTTTTCGAAACGAGATTTGAGATGACATAGGCGATTTATGGATTCGACAGCGTACGACCGCTGAAATTTTTTTAAAGTTAACATGCTATCAAAATTCTCAAAATATTAGTTTGAAACGAGGTACTTTGATGCGGCTAACATTTGTTACGGTTGATCATTTCGTGTGCTGTTAACGAAATGAAAAACTAGGCCGTGAGCACTTCAAAATGGTATTATGAATGCAATATTTTGATAGTGTATCAATGTAAAAATTAAGACAAAAATATAGAAAATTTAAATGTGCTCAAATAGGCCCTTGTACACATTTTATGGTGTATCAATGTAAAAAAGTGGGAATTGAATTTCGTCCAAAAAGTTTGGAAATCTGAAAGTCGTCTGAATGTAATTTAAATTACTTTTGGGTTCTATTTCAAAATCCTAAACACTAATCTTAAATTCAATAATCAAACATTCCAATTATTCAATAGCATAAATGATCAAGCCTTTCGAAAATGTTCACAATACTGAATTTTTATTTCTCAAAAAAAATTTTAAAAAAAATTGAAAGTTGGTGGGTCATGTGATCCACCAAGACCCACTGTGGGTCCACCAATGTCTACTTAAATTCCTTTGGCATAGAAATAATTGATGGAATTACGAAGTCTGCATTCTGTAGCTATGGTAGCAAAGAAAATAAAAAGGGGAAATGCAAAAAATATGAAAAAATCGCAATCTTTCTATGAATAATGCTATGTAGCCGAGTATGCTATGTAACCACGTAATGCTATGTAACCGCATTGGAGTTACAATCCCAATTTAGGTAGCGTTTGATGATATGTTAAATGAAAAGTGAAATTAAATGAGTCATTTAATTTCACTTATCATTTAATGTCACATTAACGCCACTTAAACTGGGGTTGCAACCCCAGTGGGGCTACCATGGTCCAGGTGGTGTTAGATGACGGGTTAAATGAAAAGTGAAATTAAATGAATATTTAATTCCACTTATCATTTAATGCAATATCAACATCACATAGATTGTGGTTGCAATCTCAGTGGGGTTAAGTAGCATTAGTCTCTGCCTATACTGTCGCTTGTATATATGACACCCAATGACGGTTGTATATATGCCATCCAACAACCATATTTCCATTGCCTACACAATTTCTTCCACCTGTCCCTTGACGATTTTTTCTATCTTTTGTGCTTGATCTTCTTTTTTGCATCTGTAAAGGTGATGAACATAGGAGAAATAAATGGCTTCACAAAGCGATGAATGTGGGAATTCTCGCCATCAAAATCTACTTCCCTCCCACTTCCATCCGACATGTCAAATATCTTGTTTTAAGCATAAATGTATTTACTACACATATAATTTTGAAAGAAATTCTCATTTTTATTTGTTTTTCTCTTTGGGTTTTGGAAATGTCTTGGAAGGGTGGGGAATGATGCACAAAAATATGGAAAAAGGAAAGGAACTTTTATGTGGTTTTCTCCATTTTTTGTTTTCGACTCATGAACCCACCTTATGATTTCGATTTGTTATAATTTGATTAATGAAAGGAAAAATTGTAGCAACGGTCCTTAACATTTCACTTTTTTGCAAACTTTACCCTAGTCTTCATTTTATGACACCTACAATCTCAAACTTTTAAAAAATATGCACTTGGGATCCAAATGGATGGAAGATCGTTAGTTGACAAGAAAAGTCAAAATTTAATCAATTTTGACCAAATTAAAAAGGATAGAATGGTACTTTTTATTTTCTTTACATTAAATAAGTTAAAAAATAATTTAAAAAACCAAAAAATAAAAATAAATCTAACCCCTTCACCACCCAACCCAACCCAAACTTCATCTTCTCATAGTGGCCAGCACCACCACAACCTCCATGTCGGCAACTAATCAACCACCATCCCATCATCATCATCATCATCATCTTTTTCTTGCCGACTACAATGCCACACTCTTTGCTCTCTCCCAAGCCCACTACATCTTCTCCTCCACCTACAGTTGCCCACCCCATATTCATCTTCTTCTCCAAACTATTGTAGATCCAGCGAGCCTGTGTGGCTTTTGGCCACTCTGTGCCCAATTCATAGTTTCAGAAAACATCACGTTTTAAGTGGGTTTTGCCAAGTTCCACTAAAGCACTGACTACGATATGCATGAACAAAATTGAAAGCTGGGGACAAGTTGGCTACAAGGTTTTTCCTTGGAATTGCACTAAAAATGGCAAACAATTTACTGTGAAGAAGAGGGATTAGGGGTCTATTGTCACCAATTTTATCTTGTGTTACATTGATTTCTATAAGAATAAGTCATCTTCTTCATCACCAAACTTGGAAGGTAAAATCATATTTCCTCATTTATTTGTGTAAAAAGGGACTTCATATTTTGATTTCGCATTCGATTTAATTGTTATGAATGTTCTAAGAATCTGTCCAGGTCGGCGGCTGATTAGTTGCCGGCGTGGAGGCTGTGGTGGTGCCGACGGCTATGGAAAGAAAATGAAGTTTACGTTGGGTTGAGGTGGGGGTTGGCCGGTTGGGTGAGGTGAAGGGGTTAGATTTATTTTTATTTTTTATAAATAATTTTTAGAATGATTAAGTATTTAAAATAAAAATAAGTAACGATTTTTTACGTTTAGACCTTGCTTAGGCTTGAAAAGTTTGAAACTTGGCCTCCCGTCTAGCCACCCTTTACGGTTTTTAAAATACTGTACAAAACCTACCAGATGTGTGCGTAAGTTGGGTTTTTTCTAAATAAACTTAGCCCTTGTTTGTGCCCCATTTATTTCAATATTCATTTTTTTAAACTCATTTTCAATCACAGATTCACTTAAAAATAGTTTTACACATAAATCTAAAATTTTTCCTTTTTTAATCACACCCTTTATAAAAAACACTATTTCAAAACACATTTCCTCTACAAAAATGGGGTCAAACAGTGGCTTTGCGTCAATTGTCCTCTTTGTACATTATGCTCTTGTTTGATTCCCATTATTTTCAAAATACATTCTCTTTTTTTTTTAATCACACATTTTTAAAAATATATATATTATACGCCAAACCAAATTTTATTTTTATTTTTTAATCACATGTTCTCTATCAATTTAATATTTCAAAATAAATTCTTAACCAAAAATGAGGTTCAAACAAGTGCTCGATAAGTTATATCAGGAGGTGGACTGGATGTTTAGATGAGTATTAAACAATCTTGAATTTTTCTAGTTATAACATGAAAGTGAGTCTTGGTAACTTGTTAAGTCACTAAGGAGATTGGTAGCTTTTCAAAAGTTTCTTATGGAACTAAGAGTTGTCATCGTGACTAGCATGTTGAGTAGAATTGCCATCTTGGTCGAGGGTTCGAACATTGGGATAATGAGGTTGGATGAAAGATTGCATAAGCAAATAATTTTGTTGACCCATTTACTAAAAGCTTAGCGGCAAAAGTTTTTTATGATCTTTGAAATGATCGACAGGGTGACACGTAAAAATGATAAATTACATGTTATAATTACCGATTATACAATTTCAATAACTTTAATTAATTTGAGATTGAAATCTCGTTCTTTTAGCAAAATTTCAATCATGTCCTTTCGATGACTTCAAAATAACTAGGATTACAACGTAAATATTGGAGGTGATTTGAAAAAGAATATGCCAACCTATCAGCCACGTGTATTGGACATGTGGTGAGAGCGCGTGACACGCATGTGCCACGTATTAGGGCACGTCCTTTTTTTGTAATGGGAAAAGTACTGCAATTTTTCTAGTTCTTAAAAAATGTTTGATAATGCTTGTAATGGGAAAATGTAGGGACGTTTTCCACAAGACCCATAAAAAATGTTTGATAATGCTTGTATTTTTCTATGTTTATATTTCATAAAATAATTAAATTCTATATACAGATAATGGTAGTAGGGTCTTGTTTTAGGATCTTTTGATTTTCATAGGAAATCTCTTTTTGTTGATTTAAAGACCATTTAAACAATGTCTCCAACTTGTTTTTGACTTATTTTGACCTTTCGGTGTAGAACCTACGAATTAAATTCTGTCCAATTTCCAATTCAACCTCGAGATATCTGACGCCCTTGTTTAAGTCCCATTGCGGGGAAAAAAGTGTTTTT